GGCTGCGCTGTCAGGAGAGCGCCGGGGCAAAGCTGCCTCCGCCGGAGAGCGCGAACGTCAGGGGCTTCTCTGACGGCGCGAGGGTGCGGGCGGCTCAGCAGGGACAAGTCTCCTGGGGATGTGCTGAAGTTGGAGCTTGTGCATCCCTAAAAAAGCCAGTCAGCTCGCGCGCCCCTGCCGCAGGACCGCTCTCCAAGCAGAAACAAAAACAGCGACAGTTCAGCAACAGGAACTTGCCCAGGCTGCTCTAATTAATCAAACGGGTGTCGGGGAGCGACAGCTTTTCTGCCTCGCTGCCGAGCCACCCATGGCAGACCACAGCACGCTCCCTGAACACAAGCAGCTTCATGCAGCGTTCCCACAAGTCGATGCTAAAATTCAGCGCTTTTTTTTTTTTTAAAACCTTTAAAAATACACATCTTGCTTTTTTCTTAAATATATATTCTATAAAATAAGGCAACTCGAGGAGACAAAAAGAACATCCCCATTGCTTAGGTACTGCATCCTACCACCAAAGGGGGTTACAGTACTTCCAGTTGAGAAAAGCCACTCTGCCCGGCCACAAAGCTCCTGCGCGCGACAAGAGGAGCGACACGCTCAGATGATGCAGTAAACCTTGGGGAAACGCCTGGGCATGGCCCTCGGCAGCCCCCGCACCCGTCCCGGGGCAGGGACGGCCCTCACCGCTCCTGGGGTTCATGGGGACGGAGCCGCTTCTGCCGGAGATGCTGCAGCCGCAGCGGGAACTGCTTAAGGAACACCCCGTCTCCAGGAGACCTCAGGGACAAGGGCAGCACAGAAAATGGAATGACTTGATTTCTCCCCAAAACTGAAGCACACAGTAAAACAATTCTTTGGGAGAAACTCTTACAACACTTGTAGTATTAAAAGCTATAAACAAAGTAAGCACAAAGGAGTGCAACTCATCTCCAGCACAGATCCTGCTCAGTCTCACAACATCTCACGAAAACTAGACTGTACAGCAGCTTTTTATAACAGGGGTTTCACCTCACTCTATGGAAGAAGCACAAGTGCGTGTTTTACCTCCAATATTTTCCCTCTTTCATGTCTATTAATGCTGGAAACGTGATCTTCACATTTCTGAGCTTTGTAGCGTCAATGTTTTCCATGTTGCTGACCAGTTCCCGCTGGGCTAAGCCTTGCTTTCTAGAGCTTTAGTTCTCTGAGAAATAAATTTAATAGAAAGTAATTTATAGAAAAAAACCCTAGAGAGTAATCTGCAGTAAACGGTACCGTGGAGCTACGGGATGGCACATCGTAGGCTCTGACAGAGAGCAGGGTTTGTATGGGGGTGGCAAGGACGTCGTGGCAAGCGGTGTAAACCTGGTATGATCATGACCCAGGTTTGCATCACTGACCTGTGTGTGCACTTGCACCGTAGGCAGGAATACTTTATAGCCTCAAAAGAGAAAAAAACCCCCACCTTATTCTAGCAGACTTGGCCTTATAAGCAAAGATCTTTTTGCCCCGATACTGGCTATGACCATGCATCCACCGATGTCACCCAGTACACCCAGGGAAGGGACTTTAGATACCGCACGCACAGCCCCAGCACCCCTCAGAGAAACCAAATCCGTCATCGAATTAACTCCTGGACCTTGGCACAAGCTGTTTAGTTCTCCTCGTCCGAGAGGATGGGTGGGATCTTGCTGGAAAGCAGGGTGTACACGTACGGCCAGATCTTGTTGGTCTCCGTCCCCGAGAAGGAGTGAAGGATGCCCCTGCTCCTGGAAGAGAGATGGGAGGAGAAGTCAGCACCAGCCCTGCCTGGGGACAGGGGTACTGCAGTCAGGCTGGCCGTCAGCAGGGGACAGCCCGGCCAGGCTGGAAGCTCCCCGATGGCTTTTTGGGCAAAAGAAGCGGGATAAAGGGGACGGGCGTTTGCGGGGAGAAGCCCAGCTGCACTCGCACGTGGATGAGCCAAACCCAGAGAACCAGGAACAACCACATCACCCGGGATGGCAGCTCACCCCCGTCCCCCTAAAGACCTCTTGTTCCTTAAAGTGCTTTGTAGACGTAAACCAGCAGGATTTATTCACGCGCTTAAGTGAGCGGGCAGTTCAGGGCCCCAGTTCTCCCCGTGCCCCGCAAGGGCGCTTTCGGCCCACCACGGACCACTTCTGCTTTAAAACCACCTTCCCGGGCGCTCGCCGTGGATCGTCCCCCCCGGCAATCCGCCTCTTCCCGGCTCAGCCAGCGGGGACGACTGCCCGAATCTACCCGCGGCGCCGGAGGGGACAGGCCGCGAG